GGGGTGACGCGGGGGTGAAGGAACGAAAAGGGGGCAATATGGGGGCGATGGAGTGAGAGGTTTTGGGGACACTTTTGAGACTTTTTCATACAGTGAATCGCTGGATATCTGATCGGGGGGGGAGCACTTCTTTCGAAACATCTCATGCTGAGTGGCTCTGTAAAACATTTTGTATTGTATGTTTTTAGTGTGCACTCCAGTTCAATATTATATTTTCTTTGTGTCTTTTTAATCTTTTTTACAGTGTGCGTGACTATATATAGTTTCCTCGAATCTTAATTTAGTTTCAGTGTTTTCGTCTTGAAATTCTTAGTTCCTGCATTGCGGTTTGTTCTTATGCCCTTTTTATATTTCTTTTGCGTCTTAAATTTCACTTGTAATTCAATCATTAAATGTTACTATTTTTCTTTTCGGGCATTTCACTTTCTTGCCATTGAATTTTGTTTTCAATGGTCACTATATTTAAGTGTGTTGAATAAATAAAATTATAATGAAATACATGTATCACAAAGTTTGGGAATAAAGTAACAGGTGGCATCAAACTTTTTCACACAGTTGAGATATGGGGAAAAGACTGGAAATAAATTATTTGCATTGATATGTCCTGATGGCAATTTTAAAGAAAACAAAAAAAAATGTCTGGATAAATTGAAGAATTATTTCCTATTTTGTGATTGAGAGGTTATGTTGGGGGAGGGGGCAATGACAACGTCCTCATTGGCTCAAGGGGGCGATTCGTTCAAAAAGGTTAAGAACCACTGGTTTAGAAGACCGATGAAGACTGGGCTGTTTGGGAGGAAGAGGAAGGCTCCTTGCTTCATCATGGTTGCCATCTTTTATCTTTATTTTTAATGTTTTATTGATTTTATTGTAATTTCTTTGTTTGTTGTGAGCTGCTCAGAATCACTGAGAGTCGAGCGGCATACAAATTTAATCATCATCATCATCATCATCATTTTTCAGAGTAATAAAAATATCTCAGTAGCTAATTCTGAGCTGAAGTAAAAGTAAAACCTTTTGTAGTGCAGTTCAAGGTGTTGATTATGATCTTTAAAGATCTTAAAGACCTTATGAACCACCTTGCCCTGCTTGGACAAGCGTATCCTACTCATGCTGGCAGAGAATGCCTATTTTGGATCCAATAGATCAAAGATCAGTCAATCAGGATCCCAAAGAAAAGCCTTCTCTGCTGCAGCCTCTGCCCTTTGGAACATGATAACCTGCAAAATAAGATCTGCCCCCATTGTCCTATCTTTCTGTAGGAGTCTGAAGACATGGCCTTTCTGGTTGGCCTGGGAACCAATTGGGGTAGTTCCAGGCTGAAATGTTTGCTGGATTGATGACAGACTTCACCTCCCCTGCTTGCTCTCTACTCTTCAGCCATCTGTTTGGTCATCACATTGTTGTATTTTCATTGTGTTCTTTTTCATTGTTTATTTTATTATTCTATTATTTTACTCCTGTTTACACTCATTTTCTTCCTTTTTATTATTGCAAGCCCCCTTGAGTAGTGCTACAGCAAAATATACAGCAAACAGATTTAATAAATAAATATATTTAACAAATAAATCAGGGGCCTAGGGCTAGACCTCCCCTCCAAGGAAGAGAACCATCAAAGAAAAGTCTCCACCCACCACCCCAAATCCCCTAAGCCAGGGGTGTCAAACTGCCAGCCTGCAGGACGGATGTGTCATGCTGAAACCGCACTCACCCCAGCTCCAGCAATGGGGGAAAAAATCGTGATACGTTGCGATATGTCATGTGACATGGCAAGTTTGACACCCCTGCCCTAAGCTGTTTCAGAAAGTTACATGATTATTGGTTTCAAAAACATCAGATCAAGGAAGACCAGAATCATCTGTCTGTGGCTACCAGTAATTATCCATAAATATACCTAGCTTACAAATATCTCAGGATATCTCAGACTGAAACCAGCTTGAAAAGAGCCCAACTGTTTCCTCTAGAGCTCTCAGAACTTTAAGCCTATCACCTTCTGAACAACAACCATCTTCCTTAAAAAGGTTAGGAAGACTGGAGGAAAATGATCTATTACAGCTGGATTTGGCAATGGTTGTTGAAAAAGGAAAAAACACCACTTCCTTCAAAGCAGATGTCACTATGCCCTTCTGTAAAGAGATATTCACCCCTGTCTAAAGAACCTGGTCCATTTCCTCAGGACTAGCAGACTCAAGCTCTCCTGGAATAATTTAGCAAGCCTATGCCTTAATCACACAATTGCACAGCCAGAATTAAATCCCAAGTGATTTTTAGAGATTTTATCTAGCAAAGATAGAGCCACTAGCCAGCTTTCTGAGGACATGGTAAGAGTGGAGGAATACATACTTTTCATTGTTTTCATCATCATAAACTAATCCCTAATCAGTTTCTTACCTGTGTTTAATTAAATTTGCTCTTTCTTTTCCTTCAGTCATGCTCTAGGCATCTGTTGATCACCTGCCATTCATGCTCTAGGCATCTGTTGATCACCTGCCATTCGTCTATAAACCAGGGTCCTCCAACATTTGTGCATATAAAAATTTGCATAGGGGCAATCTCATCCAAAGCACCATCACCCACTTATTCCAGGCAATAACTAAGGCTTTGGTCAAAGCCTGCAGTAGAGATTCAAAAACTGCCCTACATTCCCTCTGGAACCCCACCAGGTCTATTTAAGCACCTGAGACAGACCACAGAGTTAGCAAGAGCAATCTGTCAATGACAGGAGACTGGGGACTGTATCCACAACTTTATTCAGTTGCTCCAAGCCAAATAGCAGATCCAAACCTTCCCCCCAAATAAGTCAGGCCATTGACAACCTGGATCAAATCTATCAAATCTATAGTGGTCATGTACTGCTGAGCCAACTCTGAGTCCAGGCTCTGATTTCAGGCCTAAGCAAACTGAATACCTGAAGACATAGAAGAGAACAACTAACACCCAGGAGTCCACCATCAACCATGTGTGAATTGGGCAGCCCATATAAATGTGTTCAATAAACAAACAAACAAACAAACAAACAAACAAACAAACAAACAGCATAAGTGCCACTGTTGAAAAATATGGGATCTGGGAGACATACTGTATCTATCACAGTGTCTGCCAGGTGGAATAGCCTATCTGCTGGAGTATGGTTGGTTTCAACCCTATTGACCTTTCAGAAGACCTCAGAAACCTGATTCAACAGGATGTAACTGTTTAAGTGGAGTTTTTAAAAGGCATCTTTTATTCCTTTAGAAAATATTTTTAAAGCTTTCTGTTTGTATACTCATTAGCCGCCCTCCCCCCGGAGTTATTTATGAGGGCAGCCATATACATTGGTATGTTGAGTGAATGAATGAACAAACAAACAAATGAATGGATTTGTGTATATGTAACTATGCAGAAGAAAGCCAAACAACAATCAGTGGTCATATGTGGAACAGGCAACCCTATATAGGAATGAAGGTGAATTTTCTTAGGCATAGATGATTTCTAGTGTAACAACAGAACTCAGGTGATGAAGTTCACAGAAAGTGGCTTTTGGAGAACTAACTTTTGATCAAGTCATTTATTCTTGTGTCGTAAAGAAAAAGTCAACCAGCCAAGAGAAACTAGCTATTTTGAGACTTTTAACTGTAGGATATCTATGATTTCTTACCTGTTGGTGATGGATAATATTAGCTATTAGAAAACTGATTTTAAGCTTTTAATGTCTACCTCAAATGCCTGGTTTGCAAAAATTAATTATACATATTTCTGAAATAGGCCTGGGGTGTTTTTATATTAAGAATTGGAGGGGATGGGGAAGAAATATAGTGAGCTAAGGACACAAAATTGATGTCACAAAATAGATTTTTTTTATTACATTGGGACCATGGTGCTCTCAAATGGGGTCATCAGAACTGGGAAAAGCGCTTAACCTTTTTTGTCCATCAGTTTTCTTCATAGAATCTACCCATTTCCTAAGCCATAAAGAAAAAAAAATACAATGTTCTCCAGTTATTTTGAGCTACTGCTCCCATTAAACTCCCATTCCAAATGCCCTCCTTTTGTGTGTGTGTGTGTGTGTATAAGCTTTGACATTGTATTTACTCATGATTGTAAATGTGGAGAAGGAAACAAAACAATTATTTATCTCTCTTTTCCACCAATTCTAAAAAATAATAATTATATATAATTATTATTCCTTTCATGATTTTTTTTGAACCTAACCAAATGGCAAAAGTTTTGGAGCTGGATCTTCTACAGGACAGGCATTCCTCAACTTACAACAGTTTGTTTAGTAACCGTTCCAAGTTACAACAATCACACTTATGACTGTTGCAGCATCCCCATAGTCTCATGATCAAAATTTAGATGCTTGGCAAATGAGCCATATTTATGACATTTGCTGTGTCCCAGGGTCAATAGATTGCCTTTTGCGACCTTCTGACAAACAAAGTCCATGGGGAAGCCAGATTCACTTAGCAATCGTGTTACTAACTTAACAATTGCAGTGATTCCCTTAACAATTGTAGGAAGAAAGATCATAAAATGGGGTAAAACTCATTTAACAACTGTCTCTCTTAGCAACAGAAATGTTAGGCTTATCTTGGACTAATATTCAGGACTACCTGTATATTAGTTCTTTTTGGCCCTTGGCTCAAATATTTTTTTTTCCTCTAACCCACTTCTACTACGAACAAACCTACTTCCACTAGAACAAGCAGCTAATTTAATAAAAATAGAATGTTAATCCTGCTGATAGTTTTTGTTTAGAAGGTTTAAAAGCCACAATCTTGCTAAGTGTGGGCTTTGGGGAAATTCTTGTGCTTATAATTTCCTCTTTTTTGTAGTAACTATTCGGATCATTTATTAGTTTTGACAAGCTGAAAGAAATGATAAAAGAAATATGCTTAGCAAGGTAGCATGCAGTAGAGAGAAAAGTATTTTTAATGTTTTTTTTAAAAAAAGGATTTTTACAGAAAATATGTTACAAAAGTTAACACTTAGAATATGCAGTGTCAGTATATAAAGAAGTAATAAAAGTCATGCTGGGATAACAGGAGGGAGAACAGGGAGAATTATAAATAGAAAAATCATCAAAGCTATAAACCTGTTGCCATGGCACAAAGCTTTCCAGTTTACAGAAAAAAGATGATATATTATTGCAAAAATTGTATTCTTCTTTTCTTTTTGCCAAATCTGTTTGTTGTAGTTATCATTTATTTTCTGATGACATCCAACCACGCTTTTCAGTGAAAATTTAAAGTTAACCAGAGAACTTAACCATATATTCCCTTCCTATAGACCATAACAATCTGGTTGTTTTCTTCCAGACATTTCATTACTCAAACTAGGTAACATCATCAGTGCTAGTAGCACTGAGGATGTTAGCTAGTTTGCATAATGAAACATCTGCAAGAGAACAACCAGGCTCAGAGAGCAACCAGAATCCCCCATCTCAACCCTAAGCTACAAATATTCTCCTTTATTCATAAACATTTCTCTCTGGAGACAATTCATTTTGACCAAATAAAATATTCCTCTGATATTTAGCATCCTAACTGCTAAAGTGCACTCATGGCTCTTAGAATTGTAATGTCTCATTTTCCCCTTTAACATAGACCAGCCATCTAAGAAATGAACAATTAACCATTCCAAGATGAAATCATAGTTCATCTCAAGAATAGCAATATTAGAGATTAGCAGACTGTGAAGTGAAGGAGAGAGAAAAAGAAACATTCTGATTGGGTCTAGAATGTATGGAATGCATGATGTACTCGGCATACACCACACACAAAATCACTCAGGACTGTCATAGTGCAGTTGCCTGAGATGGGAATTGTTTTTCATGTTCCTTCACTAAACTGCTCAAATTACACTCATCAGCTTCAGCTACAATTTCAATATCTGTTATTGGCTTTGCCTTGTCTACGTCTTTAGGCAGAATGTAATTTTTATTTATCTGGCCGTACATATTGGCTACTGATTTTTCAATGTCTGCTAAGTTATGGATATTTTTAAGAATTCCCTTCAGTTGCTTGCGAGAAGAATCACCAGGTTCTCCCTGTGATGATACCATGGTTTGGTTGGAAGTTGATTTAGTACATTTTTTGACATGTAGCAGTTGGGTGCTTTGAATGGGTGAGGAAGGCAAGGAAAGCCTTTGAGGGGCAGGGAAGGGAAGTGATAATGAGGGAGGAGGAAGCAGTGGAGGGGAAGGAGAAGGAGGTGGAAGAGGAAGAGGAGGTTTTGGTGGGTCTTGAATGCTTTTTGTTTCATCCTCAGACATTTTGATGCTAAAAGGGGGAGGAGTTACCATATGGCTTGGTAGAGGGGATAACTGTTCAGGTATATCATGGTGAGTGATGGCAATGGATGGTGCTGTTGATGTTCTAAGTTCAGTCACCTCAGAACATGCTTGGAATGAAGAAAAAGAAAGTGCAGGAGATCCTGAAGATGGAAGAAAACATTCAGAAGTTGGTTCTACTGTTCCCTCTTCATCCTGGATACAAGTGCTACTTGCCAGGGAAAGCCCACTTTTCTTATCTTGGCATTTCATTTGTTGCATTTCTTGCAGAGCCTGCTGCTCAAACTGCCTTGCTTTTTCTCTAACTGATGTCCTTGTGCCAGTGATGGTCTTCAAGATTATACTGCTTCTATTGGATCTTCTTTTATGGATTCCAACCTTTTCATTCTTTACTCTGTTTTCCTCCTGGTCCCATTGAATTGGGTCCATAATGAGCAAAATATTTTTCCTGGTAAACTGACTTGGTAAAGTCCATGCCTGCTCAATGTCTTTCAAAGTGCCACTCAATAGAACATTTTTCAAGGCTGACTTTCTATGAAAAAAATGGGGTACAATGTATTTGCTTTCCTGTAACAACTCAGAAGTGGAACTATGCAATGCACCCTCAGCATACAGAGGGTTTTGAATAGTTAAGGGAGTCTCATCAGATAAAAATGTAATATTGCTTGCAGATTTGGGGAAATTATTTTTCAATGTTCCTCTGATATTAGACCGCTTGTGGGCCTCAATTGCACGAGAAGCAAAGCTACTAATAGCTCTCTGACGGTCTCCTCCATCTAACAATACATTTTTTCTCCTGCTTTGTTGAAAACGGTAGAGAAGTAAAAGACTTGAAAGGAAAGAAAATAATCACAAATGAGAAAGTGTGCATGAGAAAAACAACATGAATGCAGTGAATATGAAACAGAAAATGAATAAAAAGTCTATGTTCTTCTAGGTTATCTAAGAATCTAGATCTAGTGTAATTCTACATGTAATTAACCTACTAAATCATAGAAAGTTATTTTACTATGTCACTGGGGGGAAAGGGTATAATAAGCAAATTATAATATTATAGGACGTAAGTCTGCAATCCACATGTGAAATAGGATCAGATTTTTCTGTCTAACAATTACTTATAGTTAATATTGCTGGAGGGACAAAACATTACATTTTTGGTCATATCCCAATTGCACTTGTGTTTTTCATAGAGACCTCCGGTCACCTGATCCATCCCCACGGAAAGAGCCAAGATCTGCTAAAGCATTTCAGACAGATGGCTAACCATCTCTTTGATGACCTCCAATGAAGAGAAATATGACAACTATTAGACATGTGAAGACTGGAAAAAAAATTCCCCTCAAACTTCTGTTTGGAGGTTAAATATATTTAATTGTTCTAACTGTTCCTTATAAGATTTCATTTTTTTGTTTCCTCCTCATCTTTGTAATTCTCCTCTGATTTCACTCCAGTTGGTCCATTTAAAAGGGGATTGTGCCATATTCCAAACTACAGTCAGTATTCCAAATGAGACCCAATCAAGAGTGAGGCTTCTAATGATATGGCTCTTGTGTTAATATTGTTAATATTGTCTAAACAGGCGTTTGCTCCTTTAGCAGTTGCATGAACCTGTCAACTCTTGTGATCAATTAGAATCCTTTTCAAATCCACTATTGCCTGCTAGCTTAGATCTCCCCAATCCTATATACCGTATAAGGCAACTTCCGCAAACATTCAAATCGGCACCAAAGATGGGGGTCATCTTATACGACGGGTCGCCTTGTACGCCGGCATATACGGTACTATATGTGCTTTTCATTTTTTATAAATTTTATTCTGTTTGTTTAATTTCATTGCTCGAGCTTGTCTAGGCCTTTTCAAAATAATTCTTGTTCTTATTTTCTAACTGTTCTTTCTAGTTTTGGGTCATCTGTGAGGACTTAAAAACCTTTTTAAAATGGAAATCATAGTTAGTCCATTAAGCGGCTTTTCCTAGAAAATACTTTTAGGAACAGTGGTTGGTCAACCATGTCTGTCTCCTCTACCTGTTCAGTCTCAATTTAGAATAGCTTAATTGCAGGTATGAGGAACAAAATAAAGCTATAATTGAAAAGCTTAAGTTGCTTAATTGAGCTTATTCTTACAGATGGTAATGAACCTTTGATAAGTGAAAGGCTTTAGGATTGTAACTTGTTTTTGATTGTAGAGATATGTCATTAACACCAATAACCTGAAGGGCCTCGAATCTATTTGCTATAAGTTATTGATGTTTGGTCACACACTGCTTTTAATCTTTTATATCTAGTTCCCTTTGGAGAGTAGTGAATAAAATTTAGGTACCACATACTAGAAAAGTAGAATAACTATTTATTTTAAAACACACACAGCTATTTCCATTTGCTATTGTATTAGCCACTACTATGACAGTTTACTTACTGATGCCTTTCACGTCCAAAGGCAAATAAGAAGAAAAGAAAAATAAATTTAATTTCAAAATGCTATCTGTAGAAGCTTTGTGTAATTCACAACACAGATTTCAACTGAAAACAGAATGAGAGCTCCAAGGAAATTAGAAAAGTAAAAGAAAAGATATATTGTCTTCAGAGCACTTATTGCTTACATTTTCAGGCATTGTTAAGTATTGGCATTAAACAGTTAAAATGCATGGTGAAATACATAGTAAAATGTTATTTTGCCAAAAGATTATTTTACTATGGTACATTTAAGTAAACATGTTTTAATCAAAAGGGTTTATGTATACCTTCTATATCCATCCCTTCAATGGATTTTTTTAAAAGTCCAATTACTAAAGGCAGCTCTATCCATTTCCTGAGGCAGCCTGACCCAATGGAGCTTGATTAGCGCTCAGCTGGAATCTCTGCTGTGAGTATAAAGTTTTTGTACACATTGAAAATACTATTCAAGTTTCCACCCATGGAATAATCAGCCTTTTTGGCTCATGTTGCATGCAAAAGTTTGAATATGTACTCCTTCCTATTTATATGTGGCATTTGAACATCTTGACACAATATCCAACTACCAGAAAAACCTTGCATTCGAGACATTTTGTCAGAATTTGAATAACACTAGCTTTGGATAGAGTTGTGTGCAAGTCTCAAATGGCTATAGGATGGTGATGATTAGTCAAATAAATGTCTATAAAGAGTCTCAATCATCCAGGTCATGGTGATCCCAAAGGTGCTTTCAAAAGGCAACTGGACTTTCTTGATTTTTTTCCCTTGATCGTGGATGAAAATTAAATGTTTTCAAAAAAAAAAAAAAAAAATCAAGAAAGTCCAGTTGTCTTTTGAAAGCATCTTTAGGACATTAGCCAAATAAGCTAACAGTAAACAGCTCAACCAAAGAACCATTAAGACCATTCCCACCAACATTGAGAGGGCAAGCCACTAGAACAGGGGCCTTCAAACTTGGCCCTTTTGTGACTTGTGGACTTCAACTCCCAGAATTCCTCAGCCAGGCACACTTGAATGTGGGATTAAAAAAAAAGCTACATGCTCTTACATGGAACAATATTTTTTTCATAATAAGTCCTGCCAATGTTTCCAATTCATAGTTATATATTCTCATGCATATCCAAGGGGGCCTTTAGTCATTTCTTGTTTAATTATGTTGAGCAAAACCCCAAACGTCTAAAAAAAGATACCAGAAAAATTGTGTAATTGTTACACAAGTGTAACCACAAGCCAGTATACAAAGAGGAATGGCATTGTGATTTTCCAAGGACTGGATTAACTGGATGATGGTTAAGTCATTGGGAAAGGCAAGTGAAATTATAATCTCTTTCACCTGACCTATGCCATCTTGCATCTCCAGTGGACTAGTTCTTTAGCTAGGCCAATAGACCAGGTTGATCTACCTGCTACTATGGCTATTGTCACATGAAGCCATTGGGTTTTTTAGACCAGACATGTCAAACTCACGATGTCACATGACGTCGCGCAATGTATCAGGACTGTTTTGCCATTGCTGGCAATGGGGTGGGCATGGCTTCTGCATGATGTGTCCAGCCTGTGGGCCAGCAGTTTGACACTCCTAGTTTAGACTGATCAAACTTTACAATCCTTAGAGGTACAATCAGATCTATATTCCAAATGGCTTTGCAGGAAGAGCAATAATGCAAAATATTGGCTTTCTATATACTCTGGATTTAATATTCTGACTACATTCCTGCCAGTGGTCCTTTGAATCCTCTTCTTCCTTCCCCCAAATTTTCTGACATCCTGCCTGTATCCCCTTTCTGATCCACTGAACTCTCTTTGGTCTAAATCAGTGTTTCTCAACCTTGACAATTTTAAGGCATGTGGACTTCAACTCCCAGAATTCCACAGTCAGCAATGCTGGCTGTGGAATTCTGGGAGTTGAAGTCCACATGCCTTAAAATTGTCAAGGTTGAGAAACACTGGTCTAGATATACATCATCTAGAGTCCAATCTTAATAAGGCCTACTGTATGATATTTTCATAGACTGATGAAACCTGGTCTTCTCTGGAGTGCCTAGGAAGAAATGCTAAGACCAGTATAACCTATTCATTTTTCTCTCCTATCCCTGTTTCAGTTTTGGGGGTATTCAGTTTTGACAATATACTGATTTTGTCAATCTTTTGACATTTTGCATACACAGACACATATGCTTTGATCAGATCTTCCCTATGCTCTAAACAGAATTCATGTGTACAGGAAGGTGCATGCTGGACCTGACAAACTATCTAATTCATATCAATAATAAATATGCATACATTAAATATGTAAAAATATATAAAAGTTTCTGAAATATATTTAGTACATAGATGATTTCCATTTGGTATACCAAATTGACAGTAATGCTTGTCGCAATTCTTTTGTGTGTTCCAAAATTTACCTGCTTACACAATTATCATTTCTTTATCCTCCTTCAATAAATGCACAATTCCCCCATGTTGTTCACTACCATGTGGTTGATATTTAGAAGATTATATATTAATTTGCTTAGCCATGATGACTGTAATTTCTAAAGTATCAAAATTACACCTTGTGTTATTAGCATTTTAAATTTCATTGAAAACTTACATGGTGCTGTCACCCAGTTCCTCGTAGAGATTATTGGCAGGGATGCTTGCTGATTTGCCAGCTGGTAAGGCCATCTGGATGCGAGCTGTCTTTGCACATTCAGCTTGTCTCCTTTGGTGAAATCGTATGGGGAAGAAGTGAAGAGATTTGAAGAGAATCAAAGACTCTCACATTGGTAGAAATAGCCAAGTGGAGAATTCATTAGAGCTTTTCACCTGGTAATTGATGCTAATGCTAAGTATTTGAACATAGTGCAAACAGAATCAAATATGGATTCTTGATATACTGTTCTCTTACAATGGAATATTGCAAAAGTGTTTTTGTGCATGATTTGACTACAATGTTCTGGAAAAGCTCCAATTTTCTAAAATTAATAACTGGGATATTTAAAACTGATTTTACCCGCCATTTTCTTAATATCAATGCCAAAGGAAAAAAAAATGTGCTGGGATTATAGAGTAGATAAAACTAGATTATCTCACAGTTACTACTGAATTAACAGATTTACTAGTATTAGGTTAATATTCTGGGATTTTAAACCAATATACAATTAGCCTGTGTTTTCCACTTTTCTCCTTAGTCAAGTTTATGATTCTACCTTTCACATAAAAATTACTTTTTTTAATCTAGCACAAACACCCATGTTTCAAGCATATTTTCAGTGTAAAGTTTATTTAACTGAAATTTACTTACACATTTTACAATGTGAACATAATCTGATCAATCTTAATATTATAATTTAGAAAGCTTTTTTTCTTAGAATTAAATTGCATTAGATATTAAAACCTGTAAAAGGACAATCATCTTTGTGAGGTAGCAAAGAAAATTCTAAGATTTTAGCACACTTCTAATCTCCTAACCTTGTTTTGGGAAAGCACGATTCTTTTCAATCATTATTTACTGTCCTACTGATCCACATATATCCTTCTGTTTGAAATCACTGTACACAAACAAAGGCTAAACTTTTGCATATTCATACACAAGGCAGATAAAGTTTAAAAATAATGTACTTACTCTTTAAATCTGTTTTGTAATGCAGAATGGTAAAACAGAAATAAGAGAATAAACAGTGAGATTCTCATAGAAAAATAATCCAGAAAATTCTTATAAACTTTATATGCTATGGAACCCATTTTCAGGGTCGCATCCTCAATCTTTAATTGGTTTGACTAACTAATTTAGTCAATATCCCATCAGAGATATTTTAATAAATTAATAAGATATCTTTAATTAAGTGACCTCTAATAAAAATAGCTATTTAGTTGCAATTAATTTTGTGATAACGGCTATCCAACCACCATCTTACAAAAAGCCCCCTTCCTTTGAAAGAGTCACAGAATAATATGCCTTCTAGGGGCAAGCTAAAAAGAAGGGAGATTATTTTATTAAAACATGGATTTATGCAGGTTTAGTAGATTAAAACTAACAGCAGCTAAGTGTTAACAAAGGAGTAACCTGATAGGTTATTGTGAACTAAAAAAATCTTACATTATTGGGAAAAAGAAAACCTCTTCCATCTGATGGAATGAGCCAGATTGGTTGTATTAACATTATTGCTAGAGTGGTGCGATGGCTCAGTGGTTAAAGACACTGAGCTTATAGCCTGGGTTCGAGACCCAAGTATCTCAGAATGGTTTAAGTGCCGGTCTTCTCCTAGCTCCTGCCCATATGTTTGAAAACATGCAAATGTGTGTAGATAAATAGGTACCACTTTGGTGGGGAGGAAACGGCACTCTTCAGATGATGCTTCAGATGAGACCTTTGGAATGGAAATAAGTGACACCCCCTATAGTCAGCAATCACTAGTGGAGTAAAATCTGCAGGAATTCCTTTCCTTTTCTTTCTTTCCCAGGTGCTGGTTTGGATTTTTAAAACCCTCCATGGCATAGGGCTTGGTTATTTGAAGGACCTTCTTTCCCTGATTACATCTGCTCATCCAATCAGATCTAACAAGAGAGGCATGCTACAGCCCTATCTTTCCAGGAACTATGCTTGGTGGGTCCAAGGAGGTGGATCTTATTTTTGGGAAGTCCCTCATGAGGTCTGGGGTCTCAGGGGAGGTGATTGATTGTATTGCTGATCAGATCTTGTGTTTATTTATTGTGTGTCTATTTATAATGACTGTGTTTGCTTTTATACTTTTTTTTTTTTTTTGCTATGTGCAAGCCAGGAAAATTTCTTGTGAAATTTTTATAAAGAAATAAACCTTAGTCTCAAATAGTCTGGCCTCAGGGACTAAATAAAATAGTCATGTGCTTCTTTCTACAAGTCTACCTGCCTGTGTAGTATTTTGGCCTGCTTGATAATAGCTATTCACCACAATTCTTTATCTGAAAATCTTCCACTGGAAGTTATTCCCTGTGGACAAAGCCTGAAGTTGCCTGTTAATTGCAGAGTGAGCAGAAGCTACCTGATCATATATTCCTGACAGTGATGACATCTACCAAATTTTTATTAAAATGTTTACACCTACATATACATTTAGGCTTTTTTCAAATTGTAATATCGTGCAGCAGAACTGAAAATTAAACATCAAATAGTGGAAGGACTCCCACAGTAACAACCTACTTCTATATCTATTACAAGTACATGTATTATTCTACTTATTTAATTTTTAAATTCTTTTCAGTTATACTTTGTGCTTCTAGCCTCTGGCCATAATAGTCATTCATTCATTCACTTACATTTACATTTCCATGTATACAAATTTTAGCATGTATAAACTGTATACAAATCTGTATTTGCATTTTTCTTCCAGATTTTAAATCAGACAATTTTAGACAATTTTAAAATAATGGGATATCTCTGAGTTTTGTTTCTATGTGTCTATTATGAATATTTATTTATTAAATTTAAAAACCATCCATTTCCTCCATAGAAGGATTCTGGGCAGTGTACAAGTAAAATATTGAAAAACATTAAGTGTTAAATATACCACTTGTCCATTATTAATTTATTTATCTTTTATTCATAATTACTTTCTTTATGTATAAAATATTGAAACTTCAATACAGGAAATAACAATATATTTCCTTTTCATTATTTTTCTACAATACTACAACAATACTAATTCCCATGGGCAAATAAGCAATTGAAAATTCATTTAACTTGAGTCTGGAAGAAATATTATTATAGGTTAAATTATAAAATACCTATTTGGGGGATTCCTGGACATGTAATTGAAGGGATTTCTTTTTTTTTATTGAAAATTTTTATTTTTTCTATTTAAACATTATAAAAATACAATACAATTTTAAAATAAGATAAATTCATAACCATTGGTGCGACCTGCCCATTCCCCCCAGGCTGCGTCCACCCTTTCTTAAAACATTCCCTACTTCCCTCCTCTTTCTCTCCTCCCCTCCTACTCTTTTCCCCTCCCCCTCTCCTCTCAATACCCTACTTCCTCTCTACACCTTCTCTCCTCTCATCCCTATCAAACCCATGAACGCAGCATAAGGGGAGTGCCCGGGCCGCACTCCTATAAACAACCATTATCTATACTACACTTACCCCTCCTCTCTTACCCTCCCTCCCACCCCCAACCCCCCTCCCTTCACTTCCCGGAGCAGAATACAGGGTTAATAATAACAAAATTTAATAATAAAAAAAAGAAAAGAAAAAAAAGAAAAAAGAAAAGAAAAAAGAAAATATCATAATTAACCTTTAACTCCATAACCTATAAGACAATTCTCTATAATATTTGTTATAATATTCATTCATAAAATAAATGAAACTTTTTAATTCCATACTTTTTCTGAATATAATCTATCCATCTTCTCCATACAATGATGTATCTTTCTTGTGTATGATCCTTTAAATACGCAGAAATTTTTGCCATTTCTGCAAAACTAGATACTTTAAATGTCCATTCTTTTAAAGTAGGCAAAGAATCTTTCTTCCAGTATAAACCTACTAATAACCTTGCTGCAGTTACTAAATTCAACATCAAGATAGTTTCTTTTTCATTTAAATCAACGAAAATACCCAGTAAAAATAGTTGAGGAGTAAACTTTATTTTCCTTCTAAAAATCTTTTGAATGTTCCACCAAATCATAATCCAAAAAATTGAGGGGATTTCTAAGGGGATGAATTTTGAAAAAAAATTCGTATAAAGAATTACTTATTTGTTCGGGTAATGACTGGCAATTAAAATCTTTAGATGTATTAAGGCAAGAAAATATTTTACAGTCATGGTTTCAGTATTTACAAATAGTGGATAGGTGGACTTTAGATAAAAAAGTTGGAATAACATTAGGAGATGAAAATTTGGTAATTCAGATTAAAGATCAGAATAAGACTCATATAAAAAAAATTTATAATGTGTTAATAGAATTGGATTAGGAAATGGAATTGGTTAAAGATTGTATGGTTAAATGGGCTCAGAATATCCAGGAACCGATCCCATTGGATTTATGGGAGATAATTTGGATTAGAAATGTTAAATTTACACAGGCTCAAAATTTAAGGGAAAATTTTTATAAAATGCTTTATAGGTGGCATTTGGATCCTAAAAAGTTGTCTTGTATGTATGCTAATTTACAGCCTAAATGTTGGAGATGTGGTAGTTCTGATGCAACTTACTTTCACGTTTGGTGGACTTGTAAAAACATTAAGGCTTTTTGGATTATGATTTGGTGGAACATTCAAAATATTTTTAAAAGGAAGATAAAGTTTACTCCTCAACTATTTTTATTAGGGATTTTTGAGGATTTTGATGTCAAAGAAACTATTTTAATGTTGAATTTAATTACAGCAGCAAGGCTATTGATAGGTCAATATTGGAAGAAAGATTTGTTGCCTACAATAGAAGAATGGACACTTAAGGTTTCTAATTTAGCAGAAATGGCTAAAATTTCTGCTTATTTAAAGGATCGTACACAAGAAAGATATATTATGGTATGAAGAAGATGGATAGATTATATTCAGATTAAATATGGAACTAAAAAGTTCCATTTATTTTATGATTAAATTTTAATATAATAAGTATTATTAATAGTATTTTATAATTGGAATTATTTAGTTTATTTATTGTTATTATGTTTTTTATAATAATTGTTTAAAAATGGATTTGTTTATAATATGTTATTAAGGTTTAAAGGGAGTTAAGGGTTAAGTATGAATTTAGTTGTTGTATAAATTGTTAAATTTAATTAGATTATGTTTAACATATTTGTTAAATTTAATTAGATTATGTTTAATATGTTTGTAATAACCCTGTACTCGGCTCTGGGAAGTGGGGGGGGGTAGATGGGTGGGGATGGGTGGGTTAGTGGGTTTATTCTGTTAATTGTTAATAAAACTTTTTAAATAATAAAAAAAAAGAAAATTCATTTAACTTTAAAGCTTTTTTAAAATAATCTGAAAAAATTCATTGAATGTTAATGATTTGGTAGGCTACAATGTACTGTATTGAAAAAATGTTTTATTACAAACTGAATGCTTCTATTTTACGGGCACCACCAATGATGGTTATGTTCATTCAAGTATAATTTTTCCACTATGTAGCAGGTTTCATCTGTTATTTTGCTAGGATTTTTAGTTGCCAATTAAGGCATAAGAAAAGCTATAGAAGAAAAATGGACATATTTCCTAAATTACTTAAGTAAGGCCATAGAAGAATAGTAGAATTTTCAGGATTTTGACATTCCTTTAAAAAAAAATCTGCCTTCATTATGGTTTTTCATCAGGTGGTCACTATGAATTATTTTAGATATTTCAATTAAGAAAAAGTCTTGCAGAAGTACTACTAGTTATAATGTCAATCTTCAAAAATAGCATATAATGAGCTGAGTCAGAACAGGGTTTGTCAAAGCCTTTGCCCCATATAAGAAAATCAGCATGGGATGAAAACAGTTCTCTGCAGCCCAACTGATTAGATGCTGGTTTGCAACTATAGCTAGCAAGTAAGCTATGTGTAGTCAAAGCTAGCTTTATGTTCTAGTGGGCCTCTTTATTGTCAAGCTTTCTAAGACATATCTGCTAAGCAACAGTTCCATAGGCACATGGATGAACTTGGCTAGGAACTGAATCTTTACTGTTACATCAGAACGTCAGTCATAAGAGATAACCAACAGTCTCTACATGTAATCCTTGATTTATGATCATTCATTCAGTGAATATTCAAAATTACAACACTGCTGAATGAAGGGACTTAGAATTTCTGCCTGAAGTTACAGCCCCTGTCACCTACTAGCAATTTGAGTACTTGGAAATCCATTTGCACTTATGACTGATTGCCAAGTACCCTATGATCATAGTTCCAACGTTATTTATTGACTCAAACTAGAACTGGAGAACTGCAGGCAATTGCCTGTAATTTATACAGCCCACAGCTCCATTTGCAATCTTTCTTGCTGGCTTCCCCAGAAAGTCATTAGGGAAACCGGCAGAAAAGTCACAAACTGCTGCCACCTGCCAAAAGGATTCCCTTTAGTTTCTGAGGGCTGGCTGAAGAAGATCAGTGATGAAAACCAATCAGGATTGTCAGTCATGGAATATAAAGGCTTGTCCACAGAACCACCCCACCCTCCAATTCATATACCTGTAATAAATAAACTCATACACAGCCTGCACCAGGCCTCCCAGGACCTCACCATCCTGCTTGGATTTCAGCAGGGAGAATTTCCAGCTCTGGAGCACATAGATTTGTCAGGGCCTGAAAATCCTCCCTGCCAAAACCCAAGTAAAACAAATAGGCAGTATGGTAAGGAGTACAGCATGTTTTGGGGAATGTGGGAGGCTATGGGAGGGCAGCATGAGTTGAGGTTGGGTCCTGTGGAGAACTCTCGAGCTGAAAACCCTCCCTGCTGAAATCCCATCAGAGCAGGGAAACAGTGGAGTATGTTAAGGGTGTTAGGTGCATCAGAGGGGTGGAGGAAATCCTGGGAGGATCAGCGCAGGCTGTGACTGAGTTGGGGGTGTTGTAGACAAGTCTCTCTACTCTACAGCTAAAAAATTCTCTCATAGAGAACAAAGCAGATTTTCAGCCCCTTAATGTCCCTCCCAAATTTGTACTCAGCCTGCCCCAAGACCTCCTAAGTCCTCCTTCACCACACTGAAACACCATGTGCCCTTACCTAGGATATTGTCCACTGTGAGATAGCTTAACAATGGCAACCGGGACTGCTGAGAGTGCAGCCATTGAGTGAAATGAACATGTGATGATTTTTTTTCACCCAATGACTTAGATTTTGGTCCCATTTGTGGTGATAGGTGATATTGTGTAGTGGGATTCAGTAGGCAAGGAGCAGACCAGCATAGTTCCAACGTTATTTATTGACTCAAACTAGAACTGGAGAACTGCAGGCAATTGCCTGTAATTTATACTCTGAGCCCACAGGGCTTTAACCAATCACAATACTTTAAAAAAAACCCAAATATGAATGTTCAAAGTTTCCCTCCAAAACAGTTGGAGTTAACAGTCAGGGTCATCTAAAGGTTAGTTTCATTTTAGCTTCATAAGCAGTTGGAGTAAGTTAGTTTCACTCAGCAGGGATTAACACAACTTTATATATATTCAATACATAACACTCCTTTCCCCTAGGATAGTTATCAACCTCAATCTTGAGATAGGCCAGAGGCCTACGGATCCTGGTGGATCACCGCAATGCTATTGGAGAGTCCTGTTCAAGTGGAGTATTGTCCATCTCCAGTTGAACAGAGTCATGATGGCCATTTAGGTTGCCTGTGAGTGGCGGTGGCTCTACGGCCATTTGTATCTCTATTTCCCTGGAGGTGGCCACAGAAGATGTAGGCAAACTCGGCGGAAAACAGTTCTCTTGTGTGTCTGATAAAATCTCGAGATCCTCACCCGGGACAGTCAGGGTCATCTAAAGGTTAGTTTCATTTTTGCTTCACAAGTAGTTGGAGTTAAGTTAGTTTCACTTTAACAGGGATTATCACAACAGGTAAGGCCTGCCTGTGCCAGGTGGGAGAGGTGGTTCAGTGTATTTGCTGTCATATTTCAAATCTTGCTTATTCTTTTGCAATGCTTCTCATATGGAATTGTTATCCTTTTCTTCCTTCTAGTGAACAGTTGCACATTTCATTTCTCTGTATTCAATTTTTAGGATCAGATAATTCCCAAAACTCAGGTTAAGATACTGTTTTTAAATGAACAGAACAATAATATTTGTACTTTTGAAATAAACATGTGCAAAGAGTCATAATAAGGAAGAAGTGAAACTGGAGGGAAATTTGCCTTGAATATGGTTTGAATCAACCAAATAATCTAACCCATTAAAATAAGTGAAGTTCAGCCATGACAATCATGATTGCATATCATACCGAACAAAATAATTCAAGAGCCCTTGTCCTCAGTTAACATCCTTTTGTTCAGTAACCATTCAAACTTGTGACAGTGTTGAATGACGAAACTTCAAAGTTCTCACCATTGCAGAATCCCTCCAGTTATATGATTATGATTTGGACACTCGACCTTTAACTACAGTTACATGATTCCTGATGGTTCCCTGCTGGCTTCCCACAAGCAAAGTCAATGGGGAAGCTGGCAGGAAGTTAATGATAGCAACTAGGAGTACCATTGCTAAGTAGTAAGGTCACATGAAGTTGCACCCCATCACCTAGTGACAGCAATTCCAGTCCCAATTGCCATCATAAACTAAGGACAACCTGTATAAGGAATGGGAAAACCCCCCAGTAAGATCTGTTTGTGTAATTAATGTAAATAATTGATGCTCACTGAAAAGAACCACAACTAAAAACAAGAGTTGGCACCTAAAAGGGTATTCTCTCTCACACATGACTTGGGTTGGCAATTACTTTTTAAATTAAACCAAATCCCTCAAGATCCCATGATGGCTGCTAATCTCCTACTCGAGACTGTAGGAGGTATCACATGAGAATACTGGAATCATAAGTGATCCTGTACAAGGATAACCAAATATGTTGTTTTAAAAAAATACTTCATTCTTTTAAAACAACTGTATAAGGTTTATGGGTTTCAGCATTGAGGACCTTCTGTTGAATCCTTCTACTTCCATCTTTGCTACATAAAAAGTGCTAGGCAAACCAGAATAAAGGTGCTTGTATACTTACTGTCTGTAGCTGACCATAACTATTAAAATAGCAGGCATGCAGCAAAGAATGATGATGACAGCCAGAGCCAGCAAAGCTCCTTCTGTGTAGCCCACAGCTTGTGCCTGCTTTTTGACATTGGCTACCACATCTGGTGTTCTTATTTCCAAAATACGTCCTCCTTGTCCAAGGTATGGTTGAAATTCTTTATTGATATCCAGAAGCTTACCATCCAAGAATCTTCAATGTTAAGAGAACAAAACAAGAGAAAACAGTAAGATCAAGATCAAGATCTATTCTTTTTTAAAGGCTGAATTGATATTAAAAGTTATTAATAGTCTTCTCCTCCCCCTTCCAGCTTTTTATTTCTGCACCGTGGTTCCTCTTGCCCTCTCTGTGCTTTCTTTGATCTGATTTTCATTCTAACTGATTGACAGCAGTAGAGTTGTTTACAGCATGCCATCTATGATGATAGACACAGCTTCAAAACCTGCTGGTCATCTCAAACAGCAGTGAAGATGATGGGTAATTTTTAAAAACCAGGAACAATAGAACAAAAGAGTATAAAATAGGTCTGGAACAAATCTATTGGAATCAGATTGTTGAAAATGTGCAAAGCGATTATATTGCTTTAGAGCAAAATTGCTCCAACTGTTCAGAGACAAGGTTACCAACCACGAATATCATAAAAAGAGCTAAACTGGTGTACTGTTGCAATTAGGCTCTATATTACATGAGTCAAAGTAAGTAATGTCGATTAAACTGACCAATTCAGGAGTAATGAAAAGTGAAAAATCTTCTCTTACATAATGCTTGCATGTACTGAATGCCATTTATACTAATTAAGAAAGTGAAATGTCCTTCGGGGAGTTGTAATACTGTCTCTTTAAAATTTTATAAGCAATTTATCTACAAATCTCTATTTCTACAGTTTTTATAGTTTATCTGTGCTTATTATACTCCAGAAGAAATGTGACATAAAGTACAAAATGAGGTGAAGATATTTTAAATTTATTTTAGGAAGTCACAATGTCTCAGAAACTGTCCCTCTTTGGATAATTTAAGTATTTTGTACTTAAGTAATTTAACTAAAATTCTGATAGTTCTTTTGTCCTAGTACTGAGAATGAAAAAAAACAAACAAACATGCAGGTCACAATGTGGATGTCATTGGCAAACAATTTCACTCAACATACAGTCATTCTGAATATCTACAAATATGTATATGTGTGTGTATGTGTGTGTGTGTATATATATATATATATATATATATATATATATATATATATATATATATATATATATATGTATACACACACACACACACACACACATACATATATACACATACATATATACATACATACAAAGATAGAAAATCCTCGAACTCTGGGAAGGATATAAACCAGCTGTTTATTGTTAAAAAATTAAAACAATAAAAACAACTATTTACAATACTAAAAACAACCTAAGCTTTCGCTTGTCCACTGCCAGTGTCATCAGAGTGAGGGAGTTTTCTTATGAACCTTGCTAGCGTGGTTTCTTGCATTACTGACACTCACTCTGATGATGCTGGCAGTGGACCAGTGAAAGCTCAGGTTGTTTTAGTATTGTAAATAGTTGTTTTTATTATTTTAGTTTTTTAACAATAAACAGCTGGTTTTTATCCTTCCCAGAATTCGAGGATTTTCTATCATTGTACAGATATGCCTGGGATTTGTATTTTTATAGTTATTAGGAACATACATACACACACACACACACACAAACAAACAAACACAGAAATCAGTGGAATCCTTTCTTCAGGAAGGATACCTAAAGACTTGGCCAAAAACATTAGACAAAGTAATGGAAGTTTTATCCTGGATGAGCCTTTTTTATTAGTGGGTTAAGCATCCATCACCAAATATGGCATGACAGTTTTCCCTAACTTGCTGCCCTTATCATGATCCATAATGGATAACTCTAGGTTAAGACAGCTATAGGTTCTTGAGATACCAATGCAGCTGACCATCTTTATGAATTAGAGCTGCTAGATAGGTAAGAAGGTGCAATATATATATCAGAGGCTTTTTTTCCAAGTTCAGTTTGTAGAAAGAAGCAGCTAAATAGGATCTAGAATGACATGGAACTAAAGAGTTATATAAAACCTCTCAGTTTCTGTCTAACAATTATAACACTGTTTCCAATCAGTAGCTTAAATCAACACTCCTATTCAATGGAAATGGTTGAAGAGATTCCTTTTCCAAGGGTTTTTCCTTAAAAGGTTTTCCCTCGCCTTACCGATGAACACCTTATTGTGTCACATGGGGAGGGGAATAATCTGAGCCCCCCAATAACCTGATCTTGGTAGCAAGAGTCAAGATGATGGCAGCAATGGCACAATGGACATTGTGCTAAGATCACATCGTGCTGCCATTTTGATTTCTGTGTCTTTTATTTTAAATTGTATGCTTCTCTTAACTCACACTCAACCTATTTTGGAAAACTTTGGCAAAAGGTTTAATTTTTTTTTAATGTGATTTCCACTCTTGACTTGCAGGCAATAATAGTTTGGATAAAGAATGGCTTGCTTAAAATCAGAAAGCACAGGAAGATGTAAATGAAAAGAAAATATGGAAATTCAAATCTCACTCACATTCTATCTAACCTTTTCAGTGTTAAGGTGGTGCCCAGTCTTTGCAAGGTACAGCACATCATGTTATTTTTAGTCTTATTTTTACTGAAATTTTACAGAAATTTTTCAAAATTTTACAGAAATTTTGTTGGAAACATTAAATGTGTGTTCACTGAATAGGTTTTACTGATTTCAGCTAAGGCTATTTTCTGAGTAAAGGTGATTTGATATGGATGCAGGCGATAGAATATTTTCCTCAAGATGGCAACCACAACACATACAAAATCTGCTTCAGTCATACAATTGCAGACCCTGCATGGACAATTTCACATCTTTAGGAGACCAGAAAACACTGTGGTGTAATCACTGAGTTTTCACTGGGATGTTTTGTAATTGAAAAGTAAGCTATAGTACAGGACAGGTAGTCCTTGATTTACAACTATAACTGAGTCTGACAATTACAGATGTAAGCTGTAATGGTCACAAAATAGGCCATTATTTGACCAAACTCATTTTTACCACTTTTTTTGTGGTGGTACTTAAGTAAATCAGCATAGGTTAAGTAACTCAATTGTTTGCTATGGGCTATTTTTTGCTGGAAACTGAAAATAAATACCACTTTCTGGTAAAACCATTGTAAATTGTCACATGACCATGGGGTACTGCAAAGCAGCGAAGGTCTATAAAATTGGGCTGGTTGTAGAATGCCCAAATGCAGTCAGGAGAATGGATGGAGGCTGACACCAGACGTTTGAAAGTGGGTCATAAGTAGTTTATTGGGGGTTCCCTTGTAATTTCAAAGAGTCATGAAATGGCTGATTGTAAGTCAAGGACTACCTACAATATATAATCTTGAAAAATTTTATGATGATTTTTTTTTAAACAAAATCATATGATATGGTAGTAGTGGGAATGAACATCAATGTCAAATGGCTTTGATATTAATTACTGTGCAAGGAAGTTTAAAAAAAATGGAGAAAATATAGAGAACTCAAGAAGCTTCTTGGATGTGAACCGAAACATCTTCAAGGAAAAATAAACTCCAATTACCTTTGGAAAAAGCATTTTTGGGACAACCATGACCTTAATTACTGAGAATCTCCATAGACACTGAAAAAATATATCTTACATTATACAGTGTCTTGTCACAAATCTTTGCTTTGTCTTGTTTTGAAGAAAGATTTTCATATTTGTTTAAAGTCTAGGAATAGTCGTATCACAAAGGGCATTTTATTATCCCCATGTTCTCCTTTCTGTCAAGACATCATTCCTTGAAAAGAAGTCTAGGAGTCAGAACTTCCTGAGGGACATAGAAAAAGTAGCTGAAAAATCTCTTTGTTTTTCAAGAGCATCATTCTGTTCTTTGGAAATTATCCTGCAACTGTACAATGGGGCAAAAGGGTGACTGTAAGGACCCACCCCACTTTGCATCTTAAGAAGACAGAACTCTTGGAATAGTTCTTCCAACAGGCATCCTTTATTAAGAGAAAATGGTTGCAGGCGTTCTAGACAGGACTTGGGGTCCAAGCTCTCCCATTCAAGGTTTCAAGGGGTTCCCCAGTAGCCCCACCCAATCACCCACTTCTTCCAGTGACAGTCTCAGGCATTACACTCCCACCCCCTTTTCCTTACTGCCGGCTGGATGGAGACTTCAGAGAAAACTACATGAAAGGTAATAGCCCCATTGTTATGGTTAGTCCTTTTGGTGATATACACATCCAGTTCCTTTGAACTGTACCGAAGGAAGTGAGGGACATAAAGCCCCCTTTTCACCCCTTTCCCTTCCTCGTATGACAGAATCCATAGAAGGCAGAAATGGGGTTTTCTATAATTGATAACTAGAGATGAAATATAATTGGATTCTGACATCCTGCCCCCTCAAAAATAAGACAGATCCACCTGAAAAGAAAACAAAACAGGTATAAAAGTTAGTCAGGCTTGTTAGAGCTTCGGGGCTCTGACATGACATTTATGGACCCACTCGTTTTGTAAGGCACGGAGGTGTTTCCAGGCAACTAGGTACTGAGTCGCTCCATGATATCTCCTAGAGTCAAGGATTTCCTTTATTTCAAAGTGTTGTTTGCCCTCCACCATGATTGGAGGTGGTGGGGGGGATTTTTGGCCGTAAAGGTGACTGACGCTCTCTTTTCAGCAAGCTGCAATGAAAATTTGGGTGTATTTGCCTGAGATTTTTGGGTAATTCTAATTCTACTGTTATTGGATTTATGATTCTGTTAATTGGAAAAGGCCCTATATATTTTGGTCCAAGTTTTTTACAGGGCTATAGGGACTTTAGGTATTTTGTAGATAAGTACACCATTTCTCCTATAATGAATGGTGTAGGCTCAACCCTTTTTTTATCGGCATGTGCTTTGTATGCCTGCATAGCTTCATCTAGTGTTTTTCTGACTACAGGCCAGGTGTTTTGTAATTGTTCCATCCATTCTTTCAGTGATGGGATCGCCAGTTCCTGTGGGGTTAATTCTGGCATGGGGTTGAAACTTTGACCGGTGGCTATTTGAAAAGGAGTGTAACCTGTGCTGGAGTTGTAAGCAACTTCTGCGAAAGGGAGTAGGTCCGTCCAATTTGTTTGCTGAAAATTAATAAAACATCTTAAATATTGC